AGAAATTAGCATTGCAACACAGCCAGTTTTCCCGCTCTTTTTGCAAACATCAGAAATTAGCATTGCAACGCAGCCAGTTTTCCCGCTCTTTTTGCAAACATCGCTAAGCGAAACGGGACCATTGACAGCATTCGCTATGCGAAGCATGGCCCCAACCATTGCTATGCGAGTTTCCTCCATAGGAAACATCGCTATGCGAGGCAGTATTTTCCCCGGAAAACCCCATCGCTATGCGAATTCATCGCTAAGCGAGGCATTCGCTATGCGAGGCACCACTGTATTAAATTTAAATCCAAGAATATGTCGAAAATAGCATTGTTACTAATATTTGAGAAGGAACAATGGAAATTGGCAAAAAAAGAGAGAATTGTTTGTAAATTTAGTAACAGCAGCTAAATTAATAATAGCAAAGAATTGGCAGGTTGAATTTGATGTCCAACTAAATGAATGGTATAAGGAAGTGTGAAATATTGTTATTAATGGTAAATTAACATGTGAAATTAAGTAAGAAAAGGAATGTTAATTAAAGAAAATTTTGGAAACATATGGGGATAATTTAGCGATTTTGTATTAACAAAGGGAAGGATTGTGTACCTTTGCAAGAATCAATGTATTTTTTGGAAGGGGAATGGGGCTCCAGAAAAGGAGTGAATAATTGGTCCCGGTGAAGGCGAACACAATAAGTGTATATGTAGATTTGTCATTGTTTTATTATTTTGTGTTTGTTAATAATAATAAAAACCCAAAAAAGGGGAAGATCTAACATGAAATGGATTTTACTCAACAAAGGAATCCATAGTTTTAGTTTTCGAGACCTGAACAGAACTTGCTAGAGAAGACAATATTGTTCAGGGAAGGGGGCTGGAGGAGAGAACAGTCTAACAGAGAGGTTGTTGATTTGTAAGATCTCAGCTGAGCTGTTAGTGATAGGACATTTGGGAGGTCATTAACTCACATAGTCACCGAATATCAGAAGTAACTTGATGGCACATAACATCTTGGGAGATTTTTTAAAAAATTTACCAGGCAGTTATATAGTGACAAAATGAGTGGAATGGAGATTATTACAGGATATAGCTGCCCAAGCTCGGCTGGCATCAAGTAAGACAGAGCTCTGCTAGCATCCTCACTGACAAAGGAAAAAAACAACAATAATTTCACAGTTTAAGCAAGTGAGCTTCTGAAAAATTGTTCTATATTGCCTTTATATTTTAAAAATATATTTTAAAAAATTGTTGACATATTTTTTTTGTTTTTCCATTTTTAAAACCAAATGTAGTATCCTCTACTAGCATGGAGTTCAAAATTTAAAAATGTATCTAAGAAACAGCTAATTGTGTCCTGATTGACAGAGTCAAAAGGTCAGATTGCCTCAGACCTGGAGCTGATTTCTCTTTTGCAAATGTATGTAAGGAGATCGCTTGGTCTCAGAAATCCTGAGATAATGTTTACTGAACTATCTCTCCCCAACACAAATGTATAGAGTGTATGCAGTGTTTCTCCTTCGTGTCCTCTGTGAATACACACTAATGAGTTAATCTGTGCCTGAGCAGAACAGTTTTCGGTAACTTTCACAGCTTTAAGCACTTAGTGCTGGGACCTCCCCTACACTTGGCTATATAACTCTGCCTCCGGCCCAGTGCTTCAGTTTTTTTCTGACTGTCACTGTAGCAGCAGCTTTGTTTGGAACTTTGCAAGTAGAAGCAATTTTTCTTTTTCTTGCCGTTTCCCTTGACCTCCCTTGTTCTTTCTTTGCAACAAGTTGTGTCTTTGCCTGGGGGATAAAGAACTAGCCGGCATTAGTTCTCTGTTGAGGCTTTATAAAGCTTTTACAAAGCCAATGTTTCAGCCCACCCTGCTAGTTGGTGATATTCCTGCCTGAGATAGCATCTGATGGTGGCTGTTAATTTGGCACAAAACAGCCCTCTTTATCAATGGGCTGGCTCATGAAGTAGCCTGCGGCCCCGTCTCAGCTGCCAGTGCCCGCATAGTCTCATAGGAAAGGACTCACAGGAATCCACCCGAGAACCCTGCCGTTGTCATGTAGGCCTGGGTAATTTTCCTCAGGAAATTATTAATTTTCCTATCATGCTGACAAGGCTGTGTAGGACCTTTTGTTTGGGATATGAGCTATGAGCTCTTGGCCACCATCGCCATCCTGCTCTACCTGGTATCGTTCTGAGCCATGGGCTATGGAGTGCTTTATGCCTCCACAAACTTCACAGGTGTATGCTCCCTTGAACTTGGCTCCGGTAGCACAATGTTTGCAGCTTCTACCGAACCTGCTGTTAACTCATTCGGCCGCCTCCCCTGTGCATCAGGAGGGTTTTCCTTATTCAGGATTGGGAATCACATGAGTCACAGGGGGGTGGAAGAGTTTCCAACCAATCTTCCTACATCCTTCTCGGTTGTCACAGTTGGTCACACTCCTTTACTGATAACAGTTGAGGAGTTCTTTGGTCTGCGTTATTTGTTTTTGGCTGCCGTGTAGCCACTTACTCCTCTGCCATGGGGGCTTATCACCACTAATGGAGTCTGGTGCTGCCCACCCTGCAGGTAGCTCCTGTGCACCCTTACAGTTCAGGCCTCCCACATCACTAGGAGGCACTGTTGCAGGTGTGTCACGAGCGCACTGCTGCTCGATACCCCTTAAAACCAGCATCTAAGCAACTGATGGGTTAGGACCTGCCGTTTGTTGGTGTATGGCTCAGAAAACTGTTGTTATTCTTGATAACCTGCTCAGGCTCTAGAAGGCGACACAGTCATTTGCGCCGTAACAACTGCAAGAGCCTGAAGATGTTCCCATCAGCCTACGAGAATTGTACTGCTGACTGGTTAATGCTAGCTAGAAGCAAATGAATGTTGCACTCTTTACCCACCACATGCATAAAAAAGCACCAGGATGTCAGCCAGTGCTTGTTATGCAAAATACAACCTTTCCCCTGTAAAAACCAAAACATTTTTGTGTTGTAAACTTGCTGATGATTAAAAAAATGCTACAGTTTTGCTGTCATAATGGTTTTGCTGTCAAAATAAATCACACAGGGATTGATCATTTTCTTGACTCCTTTTCATTGAGGACAAGAAAATGTCTGTGTATTCATTGGCTGAAATACTTTTGTTTAGCATAGCAAGTCACATTAGAGGCTGTTTTAATCAAGAGAACTGTCAGAGGAGGTGACTCATTAAATCCCCACTGATTTGATGGCCCTGTTCTGGTGCAATTTACCACACTAAGCAACAGGATTTCCTTTACATCATTGCCATCAACACGTTTTGTGGCAATACAGTCTACTTTCTTCTGTTGGAGAACAGAGCATGACATACAAGCTCCTATGGACTCCCCAGGCTGGTGTGCCACCTTATGTATTGTGGTGGATGTGCCCGATCACTAGCATTGAGGTTAAATTCAACTGCCAGTCCTGTCAGCTTCTAACAAGTTTGGTGGGATGATGCCATTATGCATTTTGCCTCATGTTCCAAAATGTTTCAAGCTAGTTTTGGTAGGAGGGGTGAGGAAAAAGTTAATAATTCTATATCTATGTTAAATGTATGCAAGACATTTGAAATATGGAATCTGTAGTTTCCAGTTAGCCCATTATACTATTTTATTGTGTTTATTTATTGCTTCCAGGAGCTCTCCTCATCCCCTGATTGTTGTTCTTGAAAACAGACCTGACAGCTGGCCAGTTCTCCTGCAGCAAATGGCATCATTTTTCCTGCAGTGCCCAGAAGGGTAGGAAAGCATCTGTATTCTATATGGAGATGAGAACAAATAGGCCAGACAGAGATAATGTGTAATTCTGAAGCCTTTAAGTTTTAAAGCAGAAGAAAGGATGTTTCTAATCGTCATGACTATACAAATTATATGTACATTTTCTCTGTATATCAGAAACATTGTAGCATGCAAGAGGAAAGAAATATCTTGCAGCAATTCAGTATATAAAGATTTATTATACAAAACTGAACAAGAATACAGTGCAACATTATACCAGTTCCTTAGTAATAAGGGAGGTCACATGAAATTGTCAAGTGTGTATGAATACCACATGGCACGTATTCCATCTTGTTATGCAGTGTTCTCTTCTGCCCTATTGCTCCCAATTTTGGCCAGGAGATTTGTTCACCAGAGATCTTCCAGTAACAGCAGCAACATGCTTTGATGCTAAGTGGGGCACCTGAATTTTTGCTATTGATTCTCTTACTTGCTGTTGTTTTCCTTGTCCTCTTGACATTTCAGAATACTAAGGACACTGGTTCCCAATTTTGGGTCCCCAGAAGTTCTTGGACTGCAGTTCCCAGAAGCCCTTACCAGCATAGCTAGCAGTGAAGACTTCTGGGAGTTGCAATCCAAGAAGACTTGAGTTACCCAAGGCTGGCGACCATTGCTTATAGGAGATAGAGTCAGAATCCATGTTATGGTCCAGAGGGCTGCTGTATCATCTATACCTCCTCAACTAGTGGCATGTCACTACTCTGGGTGGTTTGTAACTTGAAAATAACATAAGACTGAATATAAAATAATTTAAAAGACAACCCAGCCAGTATGATGCTGACAAAACGCAGGGAAAATCAAAATAAAACAGAATTGAGCACTGCTATAAAGGGAGGAGATCCTGAAAAGTTTCCCTAAAAAGCAATATTTTCCCCCAAAATATTAGGAGGAAAGGAGCCTGTCACACTCGCCCTGGTAATGCATTCCATAAGAAGGCGGCAACTACTGAGAAGGCCTGGTTCCTGGTCATAGACCTCTGGGCCTCTCTTGGGGTGACCACCTGCAGCTTTAAAGCCCGGGATGTGTGGGTGGCTCAGGTGGTAGATCTCAGGGAGAGGCATTCTAATAAGTAACGGGATCCCAGACTATTAAAGAAGTTGTATGCCAACAGTGACACCTTGAACTTGGCTTGGAAGCATACAGGCAACCAGTGCAAAAGAGTCAGAACCAGAGACATACAGTCATACATAAGGTCCTCAAAATCAGTCTGGCCATCACATTTTGCACCTGTTGCAGCTCCTATACTTGTCATGTATGGTAACAGTCAATCTTCAAGATTACCAACACATGAAGTATTGTTACCAGGGAGTTCCTGTCAAGATAGGGCTGCAGGTGTACCATGTCTAAGCTGAAAAAAGGCATACATGGCCACAGATGAGATCTGTTTCTCCATCGAGAGAGCTGGGCCCAGGAGCACTGTGACAACCCCAGACCTACTGGGATATGCCACAGTCTCACTAAGCTGCCACCAACCATTCCCTATAAGAAGTCACACAGACCAGGGATGGATTTTTAACAAATAAAAGAACAAGGTTTATTTACATAACACACAGGGAAAATAAAATGATCAAATGAATAAGATACAGTAACGTGGCTTAGTCTCAATCATACATACACTAGTTTGGTTCACACAGAACGCATTTAACTAAAGCACAGACCCTGAACCTATCAGTTCTGGCTAACCATACAGACACCTGAACCTATCAGGTTGGTACTGACTGACACACAGTAGTACCCTGTCTGACACACAGACTCCCACACCAGCTTCTTCT